ACGCAGTATGCCTCAAATTCTTCAATGATACCATCATCTACGACGAAGAACATCAGCGGTATGTCGTCAAGTTGCCTTTCAAAACAAATCCGGCTTGCCTTCCAGACAATTTTAACCTAGCTTTCTCTCGACTTTCTACACTTGTGAGAACCTTGGCGAACAACCCATACCTATATGAAGAGGTACGACGAAATAATCAAGGAGCAACTCCGAAGGGGAATAATTGAACAGGTACCTTTCAAAGAACTATCGAAATGCTCTCACTACCTCTCTCATCATGGAGTCATCAAAGGAAATGGCCACGACATCAAAGTACGATGCGTATTTGACGGTTCTGCAAAACGAAGGGCAACCCCAGTATCAATGAAGTGCTTCACAGAGGACCAGTTCTTTTACCCGAACTCGCAGGGATCCTTCTTCGTTGTAGATTTTTTCGAATCATGGTGATTGGCGACATCGAAAAAGCTTTTCTGATGGTTGGTCTTCACGTCGAATGCAGAGACTATACACGTTTCCTATGGCTGAACGATATCACAAAACCGTTCACCACCTCGAACATCAAAACTTACCGGTTCGCTCGCGTACCATTTGGCCTTATTTGTTCCCCATTTCTTCTGTCAGGAACTATCCACCATCACATGGAAACGACTGCAACCCCTCTTTCCGAAGCTCTCCTCCGAAACACCTATGTGGACAACATATTCCACGGTGTGCTGAATAAGGATGAAGGCATAGACTTTTACAACGAGTCCAAAAGTCAGGAAAGCTGGCATGAACCTAAGGGAATATGCAAGCAATTGTCCTGAACTCTAACTTCCAGAAGTTGCTCACAAGTCGGGATAGTTCATCGTAGTGGTTGGAGTTGGAGGCGGTATCTTCTTGTAATGCGCTGTAGGTTTCTGCGTTTCTCAAATTGAAGACTTTTCCCACGAAAATATTGCCGAGGTTGGTATGTATCATCCTGTGACCGTTTGGAAGTGTTTCATAGTAGAAGTCATCTGATAAGAGCATATCCCAGAAGTAGTCGTTACCAATCAAGATGGACGGTTTGCAGGTGGTTATCACAACATTGTGTTTTGTGCCTTGAATTGGGCGAACATGTTTCACGCGGCCTGTCAGGGTTGGGAGAGATTTCACTTTGAGACGTTTCTCTCCAGTCTCCATGACGATGCCGAGCAGGTGATCGCGAGATGTGACTTGGAGGGGTGTAGTGGAGCCGAATGTTGATATTGAGATATCTTCCGTTGTCAGAGTGGAAAGATTGAGGAGCTTTGCCAAATCATCTGTTATATAAGACTGACTGGATCCTGAATCCAGAAAAGCTGTCGCGGTTATTCGACGTGAGGGATCAGATGGATTGAACACTCGCACAGGCGCGCACATAAGGGCGGCATGTGACAGAGGTTGCTGATTGTAATTCTTTGTGCATTCAGTCGTGCAGGCAACTATTGTCGCGTCTTCGTTCTTTGGGCAGGAATCGGTTGGCGTTTCCATGGTTGCAGTAGTCTCTACAGTATTAGCGAAATGTTGGCATGATGTTCGTGGATGAGAAGGAGAGCGATTTGTGCTTCTTCGTTGTTGTGAGTTCTGAAAGTGTGAAAAGCACAGTGACGAGTGATGACGCCTTGAGCAAAATTTGCAGGAGTACTTAGAGGGGCAATCCTTGGTCGAGTGTTGATTCGATAAACAGTTGTAGCAGAGGCGTAGGGCTTTTACTTGACGATGACGTTGTTGTACAGTTGGAAAAACAGTGCATCTGGAAGCTTGATGACTTGGAGTATTGCAGTATGGGCACGGCTTCTGTTTTGAAGAGCGAGGTTTCCGCGGGACCCGAGCTGGTGGTTTTGTTTTGACAGAGACGTGGAAGCCGTGGTGAGCGAGAGAGGATGGATTTTTTGCATGATACTCCATTTCAAAGAGCACAGCATCTTTTCTAACAATGTCCGTGAGTAGGTTCAGCAGTTCACTTGGCGAAAGATTGTGGGAATTGGACGTCCTGTCGTAGATCATGCTACGTATTCTTGCGGGTAATTTATTGATGAGAATTGCTCCGAGCGCTTTTTCGTCGTTGTCGTTATAACCATTTGTGAATTGTCGGATGAGAGCAAACATGCGGTTGTAGAGCGTTTGTAGGTTACGTCCTTCTGGATCACAATCAGGAAGCTGAGCGAGTTTGGTGTAGAGTATGTGTTTGACAGTTACTTTGTCGTCGTAGTGTGTCCGGAGAATATCCATCGCTATGCGATAGTTTTCTGGCGTCATCGATAATCCTTGGATGGATTGTAGGGCGCGACCTCGTAGGCAAGACTTGAGAAGAGATAGTTTGGTTGTGTCATCGAGCTGTGTTTTGTTCCCAACGAGAGTTGCAAATCTGCAGGCAAATTCTGGATACTCAAGTAAGTTGCCATCGAATGTAGGTAATTCCAATTTAGCCAAAATCGATGCGTCGACGAAATTGAGGAGCGAATTGTCGTTCTGCATTCTGGCGGTAGGTGCTGTAGTTGCAGTTGTTTGATAGCGTCGATTGTGTTCGGCGGCAGGGCTTTCTGGAGGTGAGGCTGATGAGATGCTTATTTTGCGATGATTGCATTCACGATCAATTTCATTCAGAAGAGAGTCCATGTCTTCCAGCTGCTCGACTGCTTCGGCAATTGTATTGCGGTAATCGCCGTATTTTGATATATAATCATTGAAGATTTGTACCTCGTCCGGATCTGTGTCCTGGATGAGTGTCCAGTCGTCGTGAAGCTTGGTGATAGAAGAGTACGCTTTGAGTAGGTTGCTTCGTATAGCGGTAACCTCCTGGCGGAAAGACTCCAATTCTTCATCATCGAGGTGATCAAAAATCGGTCTCTTTATATTGATGTCGTACTCTTTGACGAGAACATTTGCGGTCGAACATTGTCTTTGTACCTGCTTTTTGAAGAATCCCACTTGCCGTCTGATTTTGGCGCTATCTTCGTGTGGCATGACGAGTTCCGAATGTTAGTGTTGAGAGGGAAACAGGCTGCTTGTCTGTTGTAGACGTTGAGAACGGTGTCGTCGAGGATATTGCTGGAGGGAGATTGTAGACGTTGAGAACGGCGTCGTTGAGGATGTTGTTGATTGAAGATTGCAGGCCGTGGTCGCCACTGTTTTGGATGAAGGCCTGATGGTCGACAATCCGTTTATTGGGAAGACCGAAAGCACAATCATCTGGTTGCTTATATACGCACAGCTCTCTCATGATGTAGTACTATTTCTTTCATGATGGAATATGAAATGAGAAGTGATGGAATATGAAATGAGAAGTGATGGAATATGAAATGAGAAGTGAAATGGAGTCATATGTCGAAGCAAGCCTTTTTGTAATGCAAATTACATTATGAATACCATCTATGAGCATGTTACAGTCTGGAATAATAAGGAGAAGGAGCAAACCAGGAAGCAAATGTAAACTTCGTCATGTGTGTGTGTGTCATACCGTAGTCTGAAACCAATGATTCTGTAGGTGTACAGAAACTAGCCTGACTATTACAGGAATGCTGTCTACTCATTACTTTTCTCGGAAAGCACCTGTAATTCTTTAAATTTATTCATCTGGTGCCTTGAACTTTTTTGTTGGTCCATAGTGATTAATAAGTTGCTACCGATTTTGAATTTGAATAAAACACTTGATTTGAAATCATCAATCAATTGTGCTTTCTATAATCTCGCCATAAACAGGGTACGCGTAGCATGACGGCATTTTGAACTTTTGAAACGGATATTCAGGGTATTATAGGACTAGAGAAGGGATCAATTTTTTGGGAAGGACAGCAAACAGTGGAGAAGGAGGTGTATACATACACGCAGGCAAGCATAATGAGAACTGCTTCTACCATAAAGCTTGGAAATTTTCGTGGACACGGTAGTGGGGTCTTTGTTTGGGACTAAAGAACTCATAAAAATTAGGTCACAGCGTGGCTCCTGTTACTTCTAAATTCTAGCTGGAAATGATAAGCTCTCCCACCTCGATTGTTGGTTTGTATGGCCATGTCATGATGAGATACGAACACTATGTATTTGACAAACATTCTGCGTTCGAGAGTGTGCCCATTCCATGTCCATTCCATGTCCACTTTCGATTAGTGTTTATAGTCCCAATCAAAAAACCGGCAGGTGACTTGATGGTGGATTCATCAAGGCTGTCTTGTGTGTCCGCATTCCCTATATTCATGCGCATTATCTGCGATGCCGTGGGAATGACGTGGTTAATCTACCCTAAGCTCGCGCGACCACGCCGATTCCAAATATCAATCTTTCCCTCCTGCACGGACGATATTTCGGCCTCACCTGCTTTAATAACTGGTGGAGAGTAAACTTAAAAGCTGACATGAGCGCTCAGATTGCACTGCCGACTAGCACCAGTGCACATATGTTGGTGACTATCACACTAGAATAGCTAGAAGAAAGCAAGGGCGATGTTCGAACGCGGGTGCGGGGATTTTTTTTTTCGAAGAGGCAAGTGCTTTGGCGAATACATTCCATCGCTAACCATTGTACTCTTTTTTTTTTACAACTGATTACTTGTGCACGGTAGCGCTCAAAAGTATTCGGTGGAATACTTATTCGACTTTAACTTTTTTCTACACAATCAAATCAGTTCAAATTTTGATATGTTTTTAGGAGGGCCTTCTTTTCCAGACGGACATATTGATGTTGAGTCGGAGAAAGAATTAAGAATGAAAGAAATCATTTCACTAAAAATCGCAGTATGATCAAATTCCAAATAAGTTTCAAATTATTGTAGAGAGCTTACAATCCATCAAAACAATTAACGCATGATGAGAAGCATTGGGAAGACTCAATAATCTTTCGATAACCATTGCAGTCACTGAATCCTTAACGAGGCCTAAGTATGGAATCAGTCAATGCACTGTCTACTAGGGCAGCTTCCTCCATTTCTCTTCAAATTTGACGAGTTTCTCGCCCATATTCCGGCTCTTATTTCCACCAAAGGTATCCCTACTCTTTCCCATAATGTTTCGATGGCGCTCGGGACATTGGTGTGAATTGTTCCCTTCGTTGAAAGCGCGCCATGCTGTCGAAACCAATCCTTCACAGTGAAGGTGCGATGCTTTTGGTCGCTCTATAGCTAGAAGGCGTGCTCACTCGTTCGCGTACAGTTTCATACGAGTGGACGGAGCTCCTTCTATAATCTGTCGTCGTTCACCCACTTCTCCATTCCTATGTAGTTGTAAACCATCATTTAGGGCTACTATACGCGAGCCTCCGCCAAGTTTCACATACGGCAGTCAATATTTTGTAACGAACATTTCCTCAGAACCCCACACATCGCGCTGATTCCGCTCCGACGGCAGAACAGCTCATGAATTTAACTTTTCAATTCAGATTTCATGTCTGAGCGTCATCAAAAACACTTGGGGAGGGTAGGGATACCTCTGGCAGAAACAAGAGCCGGGAATATGGGCGAAGAACTCCTCAAATTTGAAGAAAGCGGAAAAAGTTCCAGTGGCAGCGCATTCATTGACTATTTCCATACTCAGGCTTTTCGGCAACTCCAGAAGTTCATTAACAAAGTGTCGCATCTGCTCAATGTTCTTCATCACGCGTTAGATTGTTGTGTCGAATTGTACGCTTTCTACAATAATTTGAAGCTTACTTGGAATTTGGACATGCCCGGGAACCAATAGTGTAATGTTTTTTTTTCATTCTTGGTTCTTTTTCCCATTCGAAACAAACGCCTGTCATAATGAAGACGCGTTGTGGTGCAAAAAGTATTGAAATTTGAACTGATATCAGTCAGCAAAAATACAAGTCAGAATGGAAAAAGTATTCCACGCGAAAGACTTCAAGCCACTCAGGCTACTGTAGCGTAACGGCACATTGACTCACTTCCTAATGTGCTGAAGTAAGCTCTTTTTGGCTTGAAATTCTCCCGCATTCATTCTTTCTGCTTCAATTGTAGCACAAGCCTTGATGTTTTCATTCAAATTGTTTCCGGCCCGAGTTCTGTCGGTGAGGAACTACAGAGTTCACATTCATTTGGAGGCGAAAGGAACCAAACTGCTGAAAATAGTATCCTATAGGAAACTAGCAGGGTGAATAACGGTCGAGGAAATCCTCGACAGGGGGTCGTATTTGCTCCGATGAGAGTTGGGAGGGGGTCGTAATCAAAAGGTTCATCAACGGACACAACGGTGCTGCTGCCACTTATTTGCTGTCATCATTAGTTTCACAAGTGTTGTAGTTAGCCTAATGCAAATAATATTCGAACTGACGTGTACAGAAGTATTTTGAAGGTGTTCAAAGAAGTCCCTACTACGGCGAGGGAGTAATAGAGTTTTCGAGTGGCTTCGAAAATTTCCTTGACATTTCCTCGACGCAGATTTCTCGCGAACTAGAAAGCGTTCGAAACAAATGGAGCACCTATCAGAAAGCGTGAATCTTCTACTTACAACGCTTTCCTCGGATTTTCAAAGCATTGCCAATGAAGACAGCTACTGTCTTCCTAAGAGTGGGAACTCGCATGTAAATTTCAATTTCCTCGACAATTTCTCGACGTCTCCCACTCTCGAGAATAGGTGTGCTTAGAAAAACGCTCAGCACAATTTAGAAACTAGAAGTCTTGTGCATTCAAAAGCTGCCTTCACTTTCTGAAATGGTTATCAATGAAGAAAGTTATAGTCCTTTAAATAGGGGGTACATTTGACGATTTTTCCAACTAGCGCGCTCTAGGCACAGCGCGCGACGCGATCGCGGGTAGTTAGCGCCGCTATACTGGAGCGCGAGACTGTTCAACTGTGTAGGGGCAGTACCTCCTTCAATGTTCTACTTTCCGGCCAATGTGGCAAAGGTTAAATGTCTTTAAAGGAAAGAAGGAGAACCTAATCTGAGCAGAATTGAATCTAGCATTTGGATCAAGCCGCATTTGCGTGGCAGCGGCGCTGCGTCCCTCTCGCACATCTGAAACTAGCATTTTTTGATATGAAACCGGATGTGCAGAGGACAAAAAGGGGTCGTATCAGAGTCCATGTTTTGGAGGGGGGTCGTAAAGAGGCGGTTATTTCCTCGACACGATTTTCACCCTGAAATTAAGCCCATTCATATTCAACCCCGAAAACAATCGGAACCAAATTTGTCTAAAACTGCGTTTAAAAGGGCTATCCGGAGCCCTGAAAACCGACACAACATTCTTTTTTGCAGTTGTTATAATTTGGCGTCCGCTGGCAATCAAAGTTGTTGGGAAGTTACCCGAGCACATGTGTGTGTACAATTATTGTGAAGTTTAGAAGTGACCAAGGTCAGTAGCATTGTTTCTATATAAGAGTAGAAAAAGAATAGTTTTCAAATTTCTTATATTTTATAGAATAATCCTAAACTAGCTGTCTCTACTAAGTCTTTGATGCGAAGTATGGAGTGATATGGAGAATAAGCAGAAACATGTTATATATACAGTGCGTTGCAAAATCATAGGACACCCCCAAAAATATGAATATCTCGGCTTCTAGAAAAGCCGTCTATCGCAACTGGTAGAATCAGAACCGCCTCTATAAAAAACCTATACAAACAAGCCAAAAGATCGCGAATAGCTTTCCGTATTATTAGCGTTTCTGCTAGTCGTGCAAATCATAGGTGAGTGTCGTTAGGCGTTCTGACTGAAACCAGAGAAGAGAAATCTAATGAAAGACTGGGCTGAAGCTGGGCTTTGTTGAGCAATTTTTCATTCAAAATAATAAGTAATTTGTTCCTTTCAGACCGCGCTTCTTCGGTAATGAGCAGTTTAACTTTGATGGTTCAGATGACTGCTGTTCACTTGTAAAGAAATATGGGCCAGGATTCGACTTATTCCTTCAACAAAATTTTCGTGATCGTTTCCTAAAGATGTGGTGATGCGTAACCTCATCCTGAGTTCCAGACCTGAAGTTTCTCTTCTCTGGTTTCAGTCAGAACGCCTAACGAGCATGGCAGCACGCTTCGCACGGCGG